ATTACTTACAAAATATCTACTCTATCCCTCAGTATATATATGTATCTACCTCTCCGCCATAGCCCAATGTAGCTGTACTGTAATAAGCTTGCAACCTGTTAATTTACTACTAGCAAATAGTTGTGAAATCATCATTTTTTAATTATCTTATATTCAGACTGTAAGCTTTGTCTGTGGAAATGCCACTACGGAAGTGAATTTATTTAGACCAACCGTCCAGAGGCTAGCAACCATCTTAAATTAATCATAATTACATAATATAATTAATGAATTGATTAACCAATAATCGGACCATGAATTCCATGTTTAGTATAGGAAACACATTGAGGCAGTTTCTGGCAACCATCTTAAATTAACCATATTTGCATAATATAATTAATTCATTAATTAATGATTAATCGGACCATGAATTGCATGTTTATTATAGGAAACATATTGGGACAGTTTCTAGCAACCATCTTAAATTAACCATAATTACATAATATAATTAATTAATGATTAATCGGACCATGAATTGCATGTTTACTATAGGAAATATATTGGGACCATTTCTAGCAACCATCTTAAATTAACCATAATTCATTAATGAATTAATTAATGATTATTCGGACCATGAATTCCATGTTTACTGTAGGAAATACATTGGGACAGTTTCAAGCAACCATCTTAAATTAACCATAATTACATAATATAATTAATTCATTAATTAATGATCAATCGGACCATGAATTGCATGTTTACTATAGGAAACATTTTGGAGCAGTTCCTACAAGGCAGATTACCGTGATCTTCCCGATGTTTTAGCATCACTTCTCCTATCGTATTGGATTCGAAAACGGATGACTACTGTATCAAACATTCCATTGTAACCAATATGTTAGTAATACCTGTACAAGCGTGGTGTAGGCCACCAACACCTTAAGCTGTTCCTACGATTACTGCTCAAAACAGCGGTGGAATGTGAGTGTCTGCTATAATTGTTACCTAAAGCCATGTTTTACTATAGATCAATGCATCGTGTGCATGCGCATTACTCCAAACGTACGGACGGACAGTCCTTACTGCACCGATAGAAGCCCATGAGCCCGAGCATCTGACATCTAAAAAGCGTTGGAAATCTCCAAAATGGCTTCCATACTAAGATGCTTGATTAGAGAGTTGCAGCATGCGATGAAGACAGCCGATGCTAAGGTAAAAGCGATAGAATTTTCTTCTTGAATAGCAGAAGTATAGACTACTTTTGTCATAGAATTGGAACTAGACGTTGAGGATTCGTATCCAGTCCTTACACTATCACGTAACCGTGAGGTTCGCTAATATCCAACCGGCGACAGTTGAACATGGAAGAAATAATGACGAGATAGCATAGTAAAAATCATAAAATGTCGGTTATAACTAAATGTAATTGCACAGCACAAAGAGCAATGACCACAGATCATCCAATGCAAATAATTACCATTAGAACTAACGTGGAATAATAGACGCAATTCAGTACTTATTTCAAACTGATTTACTTTAACTAGTACTGGTCCTGTAAAGTACTATGCATACCGGTATAGCTGTAAGCAATCTGCTTCTGTACCGATTGAAAGACTTGTTATGGAGGACTGCATCAACCAGTGCAGCCAATCATGATTATCACACCTACCATGTAATCGAGTATGCATTAGTGTGCATGTACTCGCTGCTACAGTCTGTATCGATTTAGGGACATGTTGCTTTATATAGGATCGCATCAACGAATACGATCAGTCGTCATATTCATGACATAGCTCAAACTTTTGCAAAGTATTCATTTAATCTTATCTAATCTATTCTATCCTTTTACAATTACATCTTGAACTTGTGGTGTTATAATATTGAGTGTGCAGTAATTTATAAAGTAGGTTTGCTTTCTATCTATAATTTTAGGGATCAACATACCGTGACTTAGCAAGCTATCGATATATTATTAATTGCTACCGAAAAAATTTACATGCTTCTCCTAACAAACAATCTGATTTACTTCAGTACCTGGCTGAATCTTATATTATCCAATTGCACCATGCGAAAAAGTATCAGGTACATTAATGTGTTACAATAACGACGTGCAATGGTATTACAATCTGCACTTGACGCAACTCATTTTTGTAGCTTAATGTGGATAAGTGCTGCAGCGCTAAAAATAATTGTGCAGGAACGAATGAACAATAAACTCGTTCACTTAATATATCCTAGTGACCTTAAATGAGTCTAAACTGTAATGTATCGAAATATAGTCAATCACGACTATAGATTTATAATTTAAGCTTTTAATAATTCTATGTTAATACAGCAGCTATACGTTCAATCTACTACATTTTACACTTTTCACATTTTTATTGTTACAATATATCACTATCTAGTGCTATCACAAATGTAAAAGTAGCAAAGATTATTGTTGATAGCATACTGTAGCAACTGACAACAAATACAGCTCATCAGAGCAGGGTAAAGTTTAGCGTAAGATTGTTATAATGCACAATAATTAACCTAATTGATATTCATTCGGCACTTGTAGGCATTAGTGGAAAGGTACCACTTAGGTAATGAATCTGTTGAGAAAGTTTCTAGGCATATTGG